TTCAAAATGTAAGGAGGACAGAAAAGGTTTTCTGAGTGAAATTTACTTATAAATGGAAAAAATAATGTAACAAAAACAACAGCTACTAGTACCTATTTCACATCCACTGAATGTCAGGACAACATTTGCAAAGGCTGCATTATCAACACCAACCCAATAAAGCAAGCAGTCCTCCATCCTGTATCTCTCAAGTAAACTCCAGCTCAAACCTCTAATGCTGTATATTTTACCCTTTTCTGCTTTTCCAGAACCTTGATTGACGGTAAGTTTACCATTTGATTCCAGGTGCCCATTGTAAGTTTTGGAGTTTTCTGATGGATTCATTATTGAACACAGAATTCGCAAAAGACATTTCTAGTTGACTTGTTGACCCATGTGATCTGGAAGATTCAATAAATTCTTCTTTTGTATCTTGTATTGCATGAGCATATTCCAGTCCAAAAAGGACTTGTATTTTTAGAGAGAAGAATTAAAAGATGAAATTAAAATGTTTATGCACTGTTTCTCTTTATTTTTTTTCATATTCCTACATTCTGATCCTGACTTAAGCAGAAATTTATGGTTAGACATTCAGTTACTTACCTGCGATGCCAAAAAAAGAAAAAAAAGACACTATTCTTTTAATGCATGATGGGCATGCACACACAGAACATACAAAATTCACAAATTTGAAATAAATTTTCTCAAACTACAAAAGAAAATTTGCGAGGAAAATTATGAGAAAAAAGTAAAGATAAATTATAAATTAAATAAATTTAAGCCACCTTAAAGTTTTCAAATCAATTTTTTTGAAGTCCAGATTTTCCAGATGTATGCTTGATAGAATATTGATTCTTTCTAGCATGCAGTGAATAGTGTAACAAGAGATAGCCAAGTACAAATTCTAAAACTCAATAGCTACAACAAGACCGTCTAAATTGGATGTTGTGACATCAAGATAATAAATTCCATTTTACATTGACAAAAATGGAGGTCAACACTTTTCATAAAGAATTTACTGAGTTCTCTTAGGCAGGCTATTTAGCTTTAGGGGACAACCTTCTGTCTATCATTTTGTGCATATACACGACACCATTAGCTTTTCTCAGATTGATGAGATAATGCTTGGGCATCTCATTAAATGTTTTTAGCCTTAAGGAAGTCTGGTCATTAAGGATGATCAAAAAGAGATGACGCAGAATAGAAGCACCAGAGTATCAAGTTACCAGCTTTTTTGGGGTGCTGGGCTGGATCTCCTCTAAATTCTGATGCACCACTTGATTTATAGCCTTAGTATTTGTTTAGGGCCAAGTAAGTGATCAACATGAACAGTGAAACTAATACATTCCAGAAGGCCATGCATAGATGCGACAATGTTTATCAAATAGTTCTTTCTAACTTCTACAAGAGGCACATAATTTTTGTGTGTTAAAACAGCACATAATTTTTCTGCATTAAAACATTCTTTATTCAACAGTAATCAGGTCCGCAGATCTCCAGACTTTCTAAAGGCACTTGAGTGAAGGATAAAAATCCCCACTATGCTCACATTTCTCAACTGGAGTTTGGCCACGATATAGGCTTGATGATTCCATGAAGATCCAGCAGTGAGTAAGCAGGTAGAGCAGTTGACAGGTTAGCTAAACACGGCATAAACAAAAGATGCACCGCCCATACATTGTCAGAAGTTGGGTGTGAATACCTTTGGAGGTGACCTGACAGATGCTATAGTAACATGTAGCAAATAGAAACATCAAAAAAAATACAAAATGTGCATGTTTGTCTTATATCCATAAATCCATATCCCAATTCTTCCAAAATTGTGTTCCAACATTCCCAATACATAACCATGCATATACCTTCTTCCATATCCATATTTTCTCATACTTGTCTTTACAATTAGGAATTTCAATACATAGATCTTATTGTTTTAAACATATGTCTTCCAAGAAGTCATCCAAATATCCAAAGATAGATATAATTGACATACCACAACAGGCTTTCCATTAACCAATGCACATCTGCACAAATGTTCTACACAATTAGGTACAATGATAGGAGCTTTTCCAAAAACAAATAGTGCAGGAAGATTTGATGTTCTGCAGCCCAAAAGAGTTGAAATAATTAAAATGCAATCAATATAATCAAAGTTCAACCAATTAAACATAAACCAAATTTTCTATAAAAACTCCAAGTTCTTTACGGGAAGCAACAATTCTGCTTACGGGCTGAGACATGTATGTCCATAATGAATAACACAATCAGCATTAATGTGAGATGCTCCAACTTCATCAACACAACAACTGTCGTAAGTTGTATCAGCCATTACATACAACCTGACAACCTTATTGCTTGCATTGCTTTCAATAGTTGACAGCTTATCACGCAACGCTCTCACCACTGTTGTTGAATCCTTCAACAGCTCATCTGGAAACTGACATTTCAAGCCACAAAAACTCATACTCAGACTATTTGACCAAAAACTAAACTTGCAATTACAAGCAATGTGCCAACATGGAGAGAGGAAGAAGAAAGCATGGAAACAGTGGACTGGAATCCCAAATTTCACCGAGCTAGGACAATGAGAAATTAGGCCTAATCGCCTAGACAAGTCGAGCATTTACATTCCGACAACCAATTCAACAGACTATAACTTGAAGTCTATGATCTTAAAACTTTGTATGCTACAATTGATTCCACAGAAAATGCAAAAGGAGAATTTAGAGAGAAGAAAGAAAGAAACAATATGAAATTCGGGAAGTCATTGATCAGAGCAGCATGCAACATGAGATTTCCTGTTCTTTAGTTTCACCAATGATTTAAATTAATCTCAGCTCTGAACTGACTACTGGAAAATATATATAAGGCTTGCTAGGGTTGTCTGAGTTCAGTGTGAACAAAATCTAAAGCTAGTCGCGAGAGAGCACCTGCAAAGCGACTCGCTTGAAGTTCCAGCTTTGGATGAAGACGGTAGTACAGACAATTTCGTACCTTGTTTCCAAGTCCATGACCAGAGACAAGCTTACTCTTCCCAAAAAAAAGGAACAGCGTGCACTAGGGACAGAGGAAGAAGTATACATCTTTGTGTATTCACTCCCGCATATAGTCAATTGGAAGTATAGCAGAAAGCTTTTTAAGCAATTTCAATGAAGTAGTTTCAATGACACTAAAAGAAGAGTCAAGGGAAAAAAAAATGGAGTAGAGTTCATTTACAAGGAGTATTTGAGCATGCAGGGGATTAGATATTCAAGGAGGATATGATAGAGAATAACTGCATTGCTTATTTCCCTTAACTCTTCACATATAATGCTTTTTGAGACATGGAAAAGCCCTATTCCAAGATCTTCCCTATCGCTGTCAGTAATATTGTTCTAAACCAGCAACCTGCAAATTCTTCTACCCACATACTTTAGATTTTTTTTTTCTCACTAACATTATAAAAAGCCCTGCTGCACCATTGCCCTGATCCAAGGTGGAGGATCAGCAGCTACACAACCACTCAAACATGACTTCAAACACCCGATAACCCAACAATTAAAATGACATAGTCAGCAGTCACTTGATTTAGTATACTTCTCAAAAAGACCAGACTTGCTAGAAATAGGCAAGCTTTGCTTGATGGTTACTTTTAGCTGAAAGGGGGACACTTCTCGCAGTTTATTCAATTATTTTTTCAAGATGTTGAGCCAGTCTTTGAGATTCAGGCACACAGGTCAACTCATCCCTAATTGAAAGCACTATCTCCCCAAGTTAATCTCCAGCTACAGGACCCCACAAAACTTTAGCCAAGTTCTTAATTCTACTATTTGACATGGCTTTCTGGCCTTTCTGATGTTTGGATAAAGCTTTAAAGTTTATAATTATTTGAGGTTTATAAAGCTTGTACAGAACGTTTTGCTTAAAATGGTGTGTTAAATTTTCAATACCACAAACAAATTCCTCTAGACTGCAAATCCTGTTAGGAACTTCACCAAGTTCCTAGACACCTGTTCCAATGCACTAACAGCTTCTACCACACTCGAGACTGCCTATGCTGCCACAAGAACAGCTTGCAATGGATCCATTTATATGTAGGGTATACAAACAGTACAACCAAATTTCTTCTAATTTCACGATTAAACCACATAGGTCAAGCCACAACTTAGCCATCTGGAAAGATTCAGAGCTGCAGTAATTGGAATCTAATTCCTCCAAGGATGAAACCATACATAAATATCAAATGGGCATAGAGTGTTAACACAATCCTGAATACCAATTTCCAAATATTCCAGTTAATGTTCCCAGAGATTAGAGACTGAGAGATCCCAAACTTGCACCAATCAGCAAGCCATGGGAAGTAAGTACAACCAGATCATTTCCAGATTTCAAATTGCATAACTGTAAAAGCTACCAAGCATCAATAGCAAGGAATACATAAGCTAATAAAGATTCAGATTATAACTTTGGAATAAACACTGAAAGCCTGCAGCAGAGGTGAGCTCACCCACATGACCCAACAAAAGCCAGACATCTTTTAGCCAAAAAGTAAAGCAGCTCACAAAATGACCGCCACTGGAAAGAGCTTGGAAGCTATAGAAAAAAGGTTAAAGGGATTCAGTGTCCTTACCTTAGTAGCTTGAAAGTTTGAAACACTGAAGCTGTTGGGTTGGACAATTCCTTATTGTTGTATGACTCTGATCTTTACAGGATTTTCAGAACACCGCCACTGCTAGTGGGCACAATGTTGGTCTGCTGGCAACTTTTGCTGCTCCTCTCAACTTCATAACTCAGTTTGGCCACAGAATCACCATTATTATGGAGATATGATAACTTCTCTGTGGTGATAATACCAGTTCCGCCAATCTTTGTTTATACAACAGCAACAGCAATTCTGTTTAGGCATTTACATGCCATCATGACTTGTTCTGAATATTTAAGTCTTGCTAATTTTTAAGATGCCATGTATAGCAAGCTAACATCAGTAAATAGGCAATTATAAATCCATGTCTAGAATCATATACACAAAATTTTAAGATTTGGATTCATGCATAACAACTAGCTTGCTCATCAAACTCATCTGAGCTTTCTTCTTCACTCATAAATCTAGCATGGGGACTACGCCTATCACCTCTGAAAACATTAGATAGCTCCTGTATGGAACAAGAAGTGCTCCTTTCCATCTTATCTGCAAGTATATGTGTCTGCTCCGAAAACCCTAATCCTATCAATCTGTTACTCAACAATTCACAGGTAGAAGTGTACGGAGGTATACCCTCATCAATCATCATCTCAAAGAATACAGGCATCTTCTAGTTTTCCTTTCTTCTTGCAAAAACTATGCACCATTACAGCATATGTTGAAACAGAAGGATAAAATCCTCTATTTTCCATGCCATCACAAACTTCATGGACTCTATTAAACTACCCTACTCTAATAAGCATTTTGAGCGCCATGTTATATGTGTGCCTATTGGGTTGGCAAGAACATTGGTCCATTCTTGAAAATAGCCTAAGAGCCATGTTCACCTCATTGCGATTGCAATGGAAAGCTAGGATTGCATTGTAACTCCAAATATCTGATCTAACCCCTCTCTTTGTCATCTCATCTAATAATAGGTAAGCATTTTCCACCTTATCATTCTTGCAAAGTTCCTTGATAATCCTGTTGTAAGTGTACACATTTGGCACAAGATTGTACCTTCTTGTTCTGTCAAGCACTCGGAAAGCAGAATGAAGATCATTTGCATCACAAGCAGCATGAATGAAAATCAAATAAGTAAAGGCATCTGGTTTGAGCCCCTTAGACCTCATCTCCTAGGATAGCCTATATGCTTCATCCACATTCCCTCCCTTGCACAAAGACTGTAATGTGCAGTTGTAAGCAAGTAAATCTATAGAACAGCCTCTTTCAAGCATTTCATCAAAAAGTCGACGTGCGTGGCTAGATTCGCCAACATCACCCCGTCCTCTTATCATAATGCTGTAACTTTTTACACTTGGTACCAGATTAAACTTAACTCTATCAAACAATTGTTGCGCGTGACTCACATGCTTCCTCTTACACAGGGCATACTAAAGCTAGTCAATGTCATCACCACCAGGTTCAACCCCAAAATCAACCATTTTATTAAAAGCCCGAATAGCATCTGCAAGTAAATTCGCTCTGCTATACGACCTGAAAATGATCCAGAGAATCTCAGAGCCAATCTCGCAAGACCTACTATCTCCCATCTGGGCAAGAAATCCCAAATTAATGGGAATTTCTTGCTACAGCCTAAGACACCAAAGAGAACGTTGTAGCTCTTTTTACTGGGAATAAAACCAGCCAAACTTCTAGCCCAAATGAAAAACCTATAAGCAGGGAAACCGAGGTTCTTGCAACGTTTCAGAACTTGCTCCACCAAATTGGTTGAGGGCCGATTCGAGATCGTGGTGGGGGTGCCGGAGGTCGCTGAGTATGCGAGAGAGCTCGTTGACGAATTCAGGCGAAGGTGGAGGACCGGGACCCGGGTCTGTTGGCTGCGCAGAATGGGGTTGAGAAGAAAATGGTCAAACGAAAGGAGGAAGGAGAATGCAGGGTTTGGGTTTGTGGATTTCACAGAGAGGAAGACGGAGTGAGAGAATGCGAGGTCCGGGTCTGTGGGTGCGAGAGAGATGCGATTTAAGAGATTGCAGGAGCTGGCGCATCCTCCTGTTCAGGGACGAAGGTGAGCTGATCATCATGTCTGTCCAGTTCATTAGACCTGACTCGACATTAAGCACGGGAGCGCAAGAGATTCGGATCTTACACGGAACTATGAGCCGATCCCAGCACGGCACAGTTATATCCTGAGGGGGTAACCACCGTTTTAGTCCCTCAGATTATCTTTTTCTATTTTAATGCTTATAATTGCAAAAAGTTTAATCCAATTAGCCTTTATGTTAAATTCCACCACTTAGTGTTGAGCAACACCCTAAGGAGATTGACATGGCAGCGTGCTTGAATTTGTTTTAGAAAAAATTGTTCCCAATCATTAATTCAATTCCAAATGCTTTTGGACGCTCACAAAAATATTTTCTTTTCTTATGCAGCATCAATGGACATGGCTTAAACAAAATCTCTTCTAAAAAATATGTAATTTCTCATAATTGCAAACTAAGAAAAAAAGAAAGTATCATGAGGATCCGTATCCCATTTTGGTAGTGTTTACAAATATTAAAAAAATCAAAAATTAAAATTTAACGTGAAGTTGGTAGAAGTTGGATTATAATAAAAAATTATGTGTATTTGTAAAATATATTATAAAATTTTAAAAAATAATAAATTAGTGTTTGTGATGTAATTTTTATAACTTGCTTTAAGGGAAAAAATTTTGAAAAAGAATAAAAAATTTTGAAAAAATTTCATATAATAATTTTGGATTTAAGAAAAAATTAAAAAATATCAAAATAGGTTCTATCTAATTACAATAATACCACTCATAATTAGAGACATCATTCTCTTGTACTTTTAAAATATATTTTTAATTTTACTTTTTCTTATTTAAATGAGTAAAACCAAAATCTAAAATCAGATTTGCAAAACTAAGTCTGGGTGGTTAATGCATAAAATGGGCATTCCTAGCCCGATGTGCACAAAACTCAATAATCATCTTCTTGCAAGTATAAGAAAAGACATAGGAACATGGCATCCGACTCAATGTCCCAAATTTCAACTTATGGTTACTTATAGTTTAACTTGTTCTAATTGGTTAATTGATAGTTTATTGGGACATAAAATATGCATTCATGGCCCAACATACACGAAAACTTCAAATATACCTTTGTCCATGTACAATAAAGAGGTATCAATATGGCATTTGAACCAAGGTCTTGCCTGGAATCCAACTTATCCTTGTGTTATAATTTGACTTGGTTTGCTTACTCAATCACGGTTTATTAGGGCATAAAATGGGCGTTCTGGCCCAACAAGCTAGAAACTCCATATGTAGTTTCTATTTACTTATAGTTTAACTAAATCTGGATAGTTAAATAATGATTTATTAAGGACAAAATAGGCATTCTTTGCCTAAGATGCACAAAACTCAAGACACACCTTCTTCCATGTATATGAAAGTAGGAACACAATAATCAAATCTAAGTCTTGGAAACTGACTTATTTTTGCTTATACTTCAATCATGTCTAGCTATTTAATTAACGATTTATTGGGGCAAAAAATTAGCATTCTTGGGTGGATGTGCTCAAAACACAAAACACACCTTCATCCAAGTGTGAGTAAAAAGGAAAAAGAATGACACTCGAACTAAAATATCACACCCCACCCCTGAGTAACCAAGTGAGACATGACAGCGGGACCGTGCCCAACACCCTCATGTACTTAGAACACACAGAAGAATGTTGAATACTGTAACCCCTATCTTGTTTGGCTAAACTAATTTAAATCTGAAAATCTATTAATCACACAAACTCAATACAAAATACGACCAAGCATACACTTAACATACACATGTCCAATATGCATCAAGAAAAAGTAAATACAAGGAACCTCTATCCATCAAGCCTCATATATCGCTAATACAACATCTCACAAACTCTCCTTAGTACAACCATTCTCACATCACTAAACATAAACAAATCAAATATTGTCTTATATGTACAAAACCTACTACTAACCCAACCTTTATCTAGTATGCTATGAATGCTCTAACACAAGTGATGATATGCTATGATACACTAACTAATCTTACTCTGCACTTGTATGATAAAAATGAGATAAGATTACAATTCTAGTAAATAGCATCGGTATAAGCTTAGTGAAAATAGATATGTTTTTCATACCATATATATATATATATATATATAGATCATTTAAGCATGGGACACATCATTAGAACAGTTTAGCTTACTGCATCATAGCACAAATCTATGTTAGAGCAATAAACCTAAAACATCATAAAGAATTATGAAAATCATCTACATAGCATATGTATGTATGTAACTCTAATCTTGTGTGCACAACATATAAGTTTATCGAGCTGAAACATCTAAACTTTAGCCCTCATTATGGCAAAATTTGTTGGGTGCTACTATGCCATTTAGCTTGTACATGGGTCACCACTCTATGGTCAAACTAACATAACCTATACTAAGTCCAAAGTAATGTAGAATTGCCATTACTCATATGACTGCCCAACGTTTCAAAATATGAGTGTAAAAATAATATAAAACATATATTGGAAAGCATAACATAAACTATTTCCATTTTCTTATTAAAATCATACACAATTAAAAACAATTCATGTTTGCCATAGAAATTCATTTTTACAAATCTAAGTTAGAAAGAATGCTACTCACCTGTTCTCTGTAAAATTCCTTGGGCTTGTCCTGTTTGCACTTTTGCTTCCTATATTCTTCTCTTATAAATTCAAAAAATGCATGTATCTAAGTCCAAGAAACATGTTGATGAATGTATGAAATGCATGTGAACGATAAAAATTCTATATCTTTTAAATCCTTCATATATATATATATATATATATTTGCATCGAACATAAGCCGTTTTCATGTAAAAACTCTAAAACCAAATTGAACAGGCCTAAATTGTCCTTAAACTGACTCCAGTTGTCTTTACATCAGCTTGAACTAGCCCTAATTACCTTTGAACTAGCTTGAATTTGTCCTAATCACCCCCAAGTATCTTTAAACTAGCTTGAGCTAGCTCCAAACACCACTAAACTGGCCTGAATTGGCTATAAGCACTATTGAACTAGCCTGAATTGGCTTCATAAACAACCAAATCAACTTGAACTAGCCATAAATATCACTGAACCAGCCTTGAAACCCCATAACTAGACTAGTTTAGTCAAATAAGCTACAAAACTAGATTGAATCAACCTAATAATTGTCAAAATAAGGCTGAACCAACCTAATACTCCTCAAAATCGAATTGAATAGGTCTAATAAACTCTGGAATCGGTGTGGAACCCTCAAAATTGAATTAAACTAGCCTATTAAACCTCTGGACCAGTCGAACCTAGCTTAATTGTACTGGACCAATCTACTAAAGTGGTCAAACCTTGTTTGGCTAGGCTGAACCAGTCTGGTTGAACCAGCACAAACCTTAATAGAATGGGGGTCTTGTCTTCTTCACCCAAATCCCTTGTAGAAACCCAAAGTGTATAAATTCAGAAATTAAGCTCACCTAGTGTTGGTTATGGCAACACAGAGGCAAGGGTCGACAGGAAACTTATCAAAAACCCAAGGGATCATCTTCGGTTGTGGTGGTTGCATGACTAAAGGAATTGGAAGCTTTTTTTAGCCAATACCGTATAGACCTCCATAGGAAAAGTTTTGCAAAATCGGTGAATTTAAGGAAAGGAACCTCCAATCGATCAAGGGGTTCTGTTCTTCATATCTTAATTGTAAGTCAATCACCTTACTAATTTGATCACCTCCCCAGACTTTAAAACACTGGTCTAAACAAACAAGCATCAATTTGACATGACTCAAATTCTTTTCAATTGTTTGGAATTGGTGGTCAATCCAAAAGAATTAACCTATTTAACTAGCTATACCATTGATTAGTAAACTCTATGATATTCATTAACTTAACTAGCGAGACCACCTAGACATCAAATCAACTGCTTGTACCCACCAATCTTGAATACATCACTATAGAAAAAGGTGAAAATAATGACAGTTATATTACAGCGATTGTTTATAACTGTTGTAATTTATGTATATTACGGCGGTTTTTTAACCGTCGTTGTAATCATGAAATTTACAGCGGTTTACACATAATAGGGCAGTTCACTCGCCATTTTTTAATAAA